AGAACCAAAACCAAAACCTACATATTCTAGCACGCCAGGCACCCCTGCGATGAATCGATGGGGGGCGGCGGATCGAAGACGCCTACGGCGAATCACCGCCGCCCCCTGCCTTTGTGGAAGCGCCTATGTGGCCGAACGTTGAGGCGAGACCTGCCAAGCTATCGGACCAGTGTTCCCCGAATCGGTTTGGAAAGCCTTCGGGGAACATGTGGGCATCTTGAAGGTCATCCGGGCCGCCTGGATGCCATTTTGACGCTTTCGATCCTTGTTGGCGGACGTCTTGGAGGACTCTTGGGCCGTCTTGGAGGCCATCTTGAGCGTCTTGGAGGCCTCTTCGGTCGTCTTGGGGGCCTCTTGGGGCCGTCTTGGGCCTCGGGCGATCTTTGGAGGCACTTGGGCCGTCTCGGGCCGTCGGAAGGCCGACAGCAAGCAGATGCCACGATCCTTCAAACACTCATGGGAAATTAATGATTTTGGCCTTTTCGGGCCTTCCTGGAGGCCCTCTTGGAGGCCTCTTGGGCCGTCTAGCGCAATCTTAGTGCCATCTTCGGCCATCTTGGTGGGCCCCTGGCCCGTACGACGCCGTGGGGAGCCGTTTGGGGGGCCTCTCTGAGCCGACTTGGGGCCCTCTTGGAATGCTCCAGGGCCGTCTTGGGGGCCATCTTGGGCGTCTTAAGAGCCTCCTGGGCCGTCTTTGGGGCCTCTTGGGGCCGCCTTGGGGCCCTCTTGGGAGGTTCTGGGGCCATCTTGGAGGCCCCTTGAGAGATCCTTGGGCGATCTTTGGGGGCTCTTGGGCCGTCTCGGGCCGTCGGAAGGCCGAATATATGCAAATGTCAAAATCCTTCGAAAACCTAAGTAACATCAGTGTTTTTGGTCTTTTCTTGCCTTCCTGGAGGCCCTCTTGGAGGCCTCTTGGGCCGTCTTGGGCCAGCTTCGAGCCAACTTCGGCCATCTTGGTGGGCTCCTGGCCCGTCTGACGCCGTCGGAAGCCGTTTGGGGGGCCTTTCTGGGCCGACTTGGGGCCCTCTTGGGGTGCTCCAGGGCCGTCTTACAGGGCCATCTTGGGCGTCTTGGAGGCCTCTTGTGTCGTCTTTGTGCCCTCTTTGGGGCCGTCTTGGGGGCCTCTTGGGCAGTCCTGAGGCCATCTTGGAGGCCTCTTGGGCGCTGTGTGGGCGATCTTGGGGGCCTCCTGGGCAGTTTTGGGTCGTCGGAACGCCGAGAAGATGCGAATGCCAAAATCCTTCAAACACCTAAGGACAACACATTATTTTGGCCTTTTCGGGCCCTCCTAGAGGACCTCTTGGAGGCCTCTTGGGCCGTCTTGGAGGCCTCTGGGGTGCCTCTTGGGCTGTCTCCGGCCGTCTTGGACTCTCTTGGGCCGTCTTGGAGGCCGTTTTGGACCATCTTGGGCGGACTTGGAGGCCATCTTGGACCATTTCGGAGGCCATCTTGGGCCAACGTGGCCATCTTGGAGACCATCTTGGGCCATCTTGAGCGACATTGGGAGAATTGCAGGCCTTCCGGGTGGCCGGCGGGACTTCTTGGAGGCCGTTTGGGCCGTCTTGGGCCAGTTTCGAGCCAAGTTCGGCCATCTTGGTGGGCTCCTGGCCCTTCTGACGCCGTCGGAAGCAGTTTGGGGGGCCTCTATGGGCCGACTTGGGGCCCTCTTGGAATGCTCCAGGGCCGTCTTGGAGGCCATCTTGGGCGTCTTAGAGGCCTCCTGTGCCGTTTTGGGGGCCTCTTGGGGCCGTCTTGGGGCCCTCTTGGGCCGTTCTGGGGCCAGCTGGGAGGCCTCTTGGGCCGTCTCGGGCCGTCGGAAGGCCGAACAACAAGGAAATGTCAAAATCCGTAAAATGCCTCAGGGAAATCAATGTTTTAGGCCTCTTCTGGCCTTCCTCTGGAGGCCCTCTTGGGGGCCTCTTGGGCCGTCTTGGGCCAGCTTCGAGCCAACTTCGCCTTTTTGGTGGATTCCTGGCACGTCGGGAGCCGTCTTGGAGGCCTTTCTGGGCCGACTTGGGGCCCTCTTGGGGCGCTTCGGGGCCGTCTTGGAGGCCATCTTGGGCGTCTTGGGGCCGTCTTGGAGGCCACTTGGGCCCTCATGGGGCCCTCTTGGGGAATTTTGGGGCGATCTTGTGGGCCTCTTGGGCCGTCTTGAGCCGTCGGAACGCCCAGAAGAAGCAAATGTCAAAATCCTTCAAATACCTACAGAAAATCAATGTTTTTGACCTCTTCAGGCCCTCCTGGAGGACCTCTTGGAGGCCTCTTGGGTCGTCTTGGGCCGTCTTGGAGGCTTCTTGGGCGACCTTGGAGGTATCTTGGACTCTCTTGGGCCGTCTTGGAGGCCGTTTTGGACCATCTTGGGCGGACTTGGAGGCCATCTTGGACCATTTCGGAGGCCATCTTGGGCCAACGTGGCCATCTTGGAGGCCATCTTGAACCATCTTGGAGGATTTTTGTTCAGGATTGAGCTCCTTGAGATCCTTTCCGGGTGGCCGGCGAGACGCGCCGGAGCCCCGGGGGGAGTTCTTTTGGAAAAAGAACCAAAACCAAAACCGAAAGGGTCTATCACGCCAGGCACCACTTTGATGAATCAAAAGGGGGCGGTGGATCCTAGAGGCCTTCGGCCCATCCCGCCACCTGCCTGTGTTGTGGATATGAGGCTTTGTATTTGTATATCTGCTTGTACACTCATGTATATATATATATATATGTATATAACACACATATATTCATGTATGTATATATGTGTGTATCTTCACAGTGCTATATATATATACACATACATAACATTCACATGCACATATACATACACGTGCACACACACATACACATACATACCATACATACCATACATACCATACATACCATACATACATACATACATACATCCATTCATCCATCCATACATACATACATACATATATACATGCATACACATATACAAACACACACACACATACATACATACATACATACATACACACATACATACATACATACATACATACATACATACATACATACGTACGTACGTACGTACGTACGTACATACATACATACATACACAGACAGACAGACAGACAGACAGACAGGCAGACAGACAGACAGACATACATACATACATGTGTGTGTGTGTGTGTTGGGGTGTCTCGGGGAGCCTCTCGGGGTCTCGGGGGCCTCTTGGTGGCGGTTTGGGAGCCTCTTGGGGGCCTCTTTGGGCCTCGTGCAGAGAGCAGCAACTTCGCCCTACAGCCTCGTGGCCGCACAAGGGGGCCAGTGGAAGTGGTTGCTGTCTCGCGTTGCACCTCAAATTGGCAGTGCGCCGTCTGCGCAGGAATGCGCCGTATCATGTGGGCCTTTGCTTGCATAATGCGAGACTCATCTAGTTGCTGTATAGTTCGTGCTGTTATAGAAATTGCTGGGGTATCGGTTGTTTCCTTCACGAGTGCTTGCAAGGGTTCTTGGTGGATGTCGAAGGAGGTGGCAAAAGTACCAGGCGATTTCGGTGGGCGGCAGGGTTCCCTCGTTCTTGTTCCAGTGTTCCTGCATTCAGAGAGAATCGTGCTCTCGAGGTCTTGGATGCTGCCGCAGAGATCGCGACCGCTCGAGTGGAGAGTCCATATCAGAGAGTATGAAGCAAGAAGTTGTAGAGCAGAGATGAGTAGAGAGAACATGAAGTACATCTCAGAGATTAGAGGACAGACCGAGTGCAGATATTTAAAAAAGTGACGCGAGCTGCCTGAGGAGCGATGGCGGAGAAAACGAAATCCGTGCGGACCCCCAACCTTGATCCTGAATCGATACCATCGTGTTGTTCATGTTTGCGCCCAGTAATTATTGTGTCTTAATCGGGTCATGCCCATGTTAGGATGCAACTCCTGGTAGGTTACATGGAGCATCGTCACTGGTAGATCCGTGGTCGACAACTAGACGCCTAATCTGGCAGTCAAGTTGAATTGTGTCTACTCCGTGCCAATCTAGCCAATTCCATTTCCATCCTGAGCTTAATATGGGCGAATCCAGATCGACGGCCCCTTACTCGGGCTTGATATCCTTTCACGCCTCCCACCAGATGAGCAAGAGGTCAGGGTAATGACATGTTCCAGGACTTCTCGGGTCTCACAGATTCCCAAATGTTCCGCACGGGATGCAGAGACGAGGGCCGCCAGATACTTTGGAACTCTTGGAGCGCATCCTGAGCCAATCATCTCTAAATTCCACCCTAGTCCTGTCGTAATGCATGGGGTTTGGGGCTCTCGGCAAAGAGGCTCCCGTCATTGACGCACGCTTTTGTTGCCATGCTCCGCCCCTGAGATCTTGGCGTTGATTCGCTTCACGCCGGGCGGTTCCGCACTACTTCGTGCCCTCGGGGACCCTCACGGCTGCAGTCTTCGATGTTGCGATTGCTCCGAGTGCATGCGTTCTCGATATTGCCGCCTGCCTTGCTTCGTTTCGTAGGCAGCCCTTGCGATATCGAATTCTGACTTTGCCTTGGTCCAAAACCAGGTTCATCCCGCTTGCTCTGGCTTAATCCGGCTTATAATCCCGCTTAATCCAGTTAATCCCGTTGAATCCGGCTTAATCCCGCTTGATCCGCGGCCAAGTCTGGAGTAGCAGCTCCCCAATGGGGCTCCATCTTTTCTAATCCATCTGACGAAGACCTCCCAGTATCAGCGTCACCCCAACATAATTATACTATACGTGCGTGGCCCCCCTAGGGGCGACGCGCGCACCGAGAAATCTTACAGCATATGCGTCTTGGCGGGCGTTTTCTGGCCACACCGCTCGGGAAACGACGTACTACAAAATGGGTATATACGGTATGTATGAGTCGGACGCGCGCCTCGAAGGAGGACTTCCAGTATTAGTATGTCTCTGTGCGCCCCACAGCAGCTGCCTCCTAGCACTTGTTCGTGACGCCTTCCTTCGTCCTTCTCACCGCCGGTGGCGGGAACGGCGCCGCGCGGCGGGCGGGGGGGAGGGGAGCCGCCCCGCCGGAGGCCGACGCCCGGGCCCCCGCGGCGCAGGCGGGGAAGGCGAAGAATCGCGAGCGGCGAAGGCGCGGCGCCAAGGCCCTCCGCTTCCTCCTCCTCCTCGTCCTCCTCCTCCTCCTCCACCTCTCCTCCTCCCTCCTCCTCCTTCTCCTCCCTCCTCCTCCTCCTCCTCCTCTTCTCCTCCTTCCCTCCCCTCCTCCTCCCTCCCCTCCTCCTCTCCCTCCTCCTCCTCCTCCTCCTCTCCTCCTCCTACTTCCTCCTCCCCCCCTCCCCCTTCCCTCTCCCTCCGCCTCTACCCTACGTGCCCTCTCCCCGCTCCGCCCGGGTGCACACTTTTTTTGCTGCTGTTCCTCCCCAGGGTAGCGCTCGCTACCCTCAGAGGAGGAAAAGGTACGCCTGCCTCCACCCTGCGCCCGTCTTTCCCTCTTCGAGCTTCCTGGGAGGCCCTCGTCGCCATCGCTGCATTCGCCTCGACATCCTGGTCAGAACGCGCCTCGGGAGAGGTCCCGGGAGTAGCGAGATCAATACCTTTGGGTCTCCTTATACCAGGGCCAAGCCCCTCCCCCCCACCTGGGTAACGCCAGCTATCATATTGGGGGGGGGGGCATGGTCTCCCCCCTACATGCCGTGGTGCACACAGGCGATTGATGCGCTGGCGGCGCGGGCGCACCCTGGCGGGTGCACGCCGCGGCCGCCGTTACCATTACCCTCCCGCCCGAATTGCCCCCCCCCCCCCCCCCCCCCCTCCTCGGGGTAACGACCTTTGCCCGTGAAAGAAAAAACGGTCACCTGCAACGTTCAGGGAGGATTCTCGTCGGCGGCTTGCTCTGGCGCTTGTCGTTGTTTTGTCTATTCTTATGTAATGGTCTTCTGCTCGTCCCGCCACCGTGCCTCTTGTGGGCCTTTTGAGGGGCCTCTTGGAAGCCTCTCGAGAGCCTTATGGGGCTTCCTGGGGACCTTTCGGGGCCGGGGGCTCGAAATATCAGTTCGGGCCCCCCGTCTGGGTTTTCTCGTAGAGCCGTCTTAGGTGCCTTTTGGGTCGTCTTGGGCCGTCTTCGGGCCCTTTGGGGCGGTCCTGGGGTCCTCTTGGAGGCCTCCTGGGGCGATCTTGGGGGCCTCGTAAGCAGTCGTAGAGCGTCGGGAAGCCGAAAAGGCGATAAGGCCAACATCCTTCAAAAACCATCGGAAATCAATCATGTTTGCCTCTCAGGGCCTCCTGGGCTGGGGGAGCCTTTTGGAGGCCTCCAGGGGCGTCTTGGGGGCATCTTGGGCCGTCTCGAGGACCGTCTTGGGCGTCCTTGGGCCCGTTTGGGTCCGACGCGCCCCAGGGGCCACGCGGGCAGGCTCAGGAGATTTGAGAATTCCGAGTCTGGGCCCCGTCGGGAAGTTTCAGGATTGACGACTGGAGTTCAGGGGTTGAGCAAGGGAACTGGGGACATCCCACTTCGTGCCACAGGGGCACGGTGGCGGATGCCAGAGGAGGAAGAGGTGATAATGATGATGCTGCTGATGATGATGATGATGATGATGATGATGATGATGATGATGATGATGATGATGATGATGATGTTGATGTTGATGTTGAAGTTGAAGTTGATGGTGATGTTGATGCTGATGATGGTGATGGTGATGATGATGATTGTGATGATGATGATGATGATGATGACGATGATGATGATGATGATGATACTGATGCTGATGGTGATGATGATGATGGTGATTATGATGCTGATGCTGATGCTGCTGATGATGATGATGCTGATGCTGATGCTGATGCTGATGGTACTGCTGACGAAGACGACGACGACGGCGATAACGATGATGATGACGACGACGATGAACCTGACGACGATGATGTTGCTGGTGATGATGACGCTGTTTTCTGATTATTATGATGATGCTGATGATGCTGCTGATGATGATGATGATGCTGATGATGATGACGACAATGATGGTGGCGGTGATGATGGCGAGGAGGATGGGGATGACGACGGTGACGATGGCGATGGCGATTGCGATGGCGATGTGGATGTGGAAGATGATGATGATGATGACGATGCTGATGATGATGATGATGATGATGATGATGATGAGGTTGATGGTGACGATGCTGATGATGATGCTGATGCTGACGCTGATGCTGATGATGCTGATGATGATGCTGATGCTGATGCTGCTACTGATGCTGATGGTGATGACGATGGTGATGACGATGGTGATGACGATGACGATGGTGATGGGGATGGTGATGGTGATGATGATGCTGATGATGATGATGATGATGATGATGCTGATGATGATGATGATGATGATGATGATGACGATGCTGCTGATGATGATGATGATGATGATGATGATGATGATGATGATGGTGATGATGATGATGATGATGATGATGATGATGATGATGACGATGTCGGCAATGGCCTGCGCGCAGGGCCCCGCGCACGATACTTTGCCTTTGCGAGCCGCGGCGCTGCCTGCAATGGGCGGCCGCCCTGGTGCCACCCGCATTCTGCATGTGTGGCGCATGTCCAGAAATTCTTGGTTTGCGGCGATTTCGGTTCAACAAGCGGTCACGCAAACGGAGGACTTCGTCCGTTGTTTAGACTCACGTGCCGCCCAGACATCCGACGCCGTGATGTTGTTACGGCGTGGTTCCCCCGAGGTCTGGACCATTTCGGGGGTTGCTAAAGAAATCCCCCTGGCCCAACGTGCCCGCAGCATTTCGCTCAATCCTGGGCCTCGTGAGGGGTGCTCTGGAGGCCGTGGGGGCCTCCTTTGAAATCCTGGGGGCGCCCCGGGCCAGGGGCACTCCTGGCCACGCCCGACCAGAACCGATCCCGCACGTGCGGCGCCGCTCCCAGCCTGAGCCGCCCCCAGGGCCGCTGCGCGCAGGACCACGTGCGCAAGGCCCGCGCAGCAGGGCGTCACGGGCACAAGAGTCCGCGGGGCGGCGCCGCCCCACCGTGGCGCACCCCTTACACGGTTCGCGGCCCCATGCGAGATCGGCAGGGAGGAGGGGGAGGAGGAGGAGGAGGAGGAGGAGGAGGAGGAGGAGGAGGATATCGGCAGGGAGGAGGAGGAGCGAGCGAGCCGCAGGAGAGGCGTCCGAGTGACGAACACCAACCGCGTGTGAGACCTGAGAGCCACAGGGGTGGCGGAAAAGGCGAAAGCCTGGGAGAGGGTGGGGCGCCTCAGGAAAACCACACCCTAAAACCTCCCAGGGCCCAAAGAGCTACGCTAGGGGGCAGGGGTCGGGCCAGAACGCGCCGCACCTGCCCCTCTCTGGCGGGGCTCCAAGCCACGGGTGATTCTGTCAATCGCCGTGTGCTGGTTAGCCCGAGTCTTAGGATTCGCAGAAAACCCCTGGCACACAGCCCGCAGTTTGCGGGCTGACCTGAAGGACTCGGACCCGTTGAAATTGCCCCCGCACTTACGGCAGCAATAAACGGAATTCACACAGAAAACGTCATGCCCCAATTCAGCGAATTCGGCAAGCACTGAGGAGCGTCGGCAGAGCCACTGGAAGCACTCGCCTGCACCACCGAGGAGGGCTCCTGAGGCTCAGGCGTGGACCCCAAAATCCTATCAGCAGCCTCAAGGGCAGCCGCGACTCTAGAGTCCGAACTACTAACCCACGCCTCAGAACTCCGCCTGAAGAAGTCGTCGGCCAAGCTCTGGACCAACGGCGTGGGAACACAAACTCGATCTGCCCCTGAGCGAAGAGTATGGAGGGTACACGCACTTCGAGCGACTCGATTGCACCGACGACACCTATACTCTGACAGCCTCTGGCAGAACAGCAACTCATGGTCCTGGGGCCTCTCGAAGACCACACGCTTGGGCACCTGGACGAGCTCAGGGTCCCGCACCACGATAGGATCCGTTCCCCACTTACGAAACTGAACCACCTGGAAGACAGCCCAAGACACATAATGCAGGACCTGCTTGTGCTGCGTCAGCGCAGCGGCCAAACTCTCGGCCACCGTTTTGGACACCATGTGTGCGGCACTGCCACACTTCGCGAAGAAGTCGGCCCAGGCATTGCCGACGAAGGCCTCAAGCTCGTCTGTAGTGGCCCACTCGACGGTATCATCCAGCTTCCTGTGCGCTGGAGTCCACTGAAACCGCACTGGTGGCAGACGTGGATCACGTGCTCTGGCAGCAGAAAAAATGTCTCTCCAGACGCGGGCGTGCTTCGCTTTGCCAAATTCGAGCTTCTGGTCCCAGGACGTGCCCTCATCAACGAGCGATTTCAGATCAGAAATGAAAACCTCATGCCCGGGATGCCTCTGAAGTCCCATCTTGATGGCATAGCGCTCAGCACGGCCTACCGTCTGCACATAATAAGGCAAGGGCCCATATACGGCTCTGGCGGGGAGCCACGTGACGGGGTCCAACTGGCAGACCGACCAACCGCACCTACGTACTTCAGGAGTGCTGGCCGAGAACCCAGACCCATCAGTATAAGATGTAGGCCCCCAGGAGCCTGAGACATCTCCCCACTCAAAAACTTCATTGGAGACCGTAGTGTAGTGCGGCACAGCCACAGGCTCAGGAACCCCATAGATCAGGTACCTCTGGTCCCAGTCGGTGCACCCCAGCTGCTGCCCAGACGCCTGAAGCATGTCTCGAACCTCCTGAAGCTGCTCTGGAAACTCATAATATTCCTGGTCGGGGTTCCCTTCGAGGAGCGGCGGGCAGTCGTACAAGATATGACCCCAACAGGAGTCGATAGCCTTGCCACAGGCCTGACAAGGCCTAATGGGCCTCCCGAGCTTCATGTCCCGACGCGGTGGGATGGGAATATTGTCTGCCCACAGAGCCTGCAGCGTGCCGAGGCGCCGATGACACTTTATCTTGGCGAGCGAGTGGCGTAGCGCACGATGCCACACATCCGCCTGCTCGGTATAAAAATGCTGCTGCAACCTATGGTGCTGCCAGCGCTGGATGCCCTGATGCAGGAACACACGCAGGTCTGCTGGACATATACGATATAAATCAAAACTATTTCCCAAACCGTCGACCAGGATGTGCTCAGACGACATAGTCCAGGATCTACGCCTCAAGGTAAGCCAAGTGGCCCCCAGGGGCCCACGCGCTTTAGACCAGGAAGGTGGACTCCAAAACTTAGTACCCAGACTGACCCAAGCCTCCCGAAGTCTGCTAGGTTGCACACGCCCATCCCAGATCCAGGAAACATATTTGAGCACAATGTCCGTGGTGGCGTTATATATGGGGTCGTCGCATTCATCCCGGTGAGATATAAGGTACGCTGTTACCCCAACCAACGTCTTACCTGGAGCACCATTTAGGACAGCAGCACAATGTCGCAACTCACGAAGGGCGCTATCACTAACTCCAGCAACTGCTCCGCCATGCGCCACTGATGGAAGGGCGCCCGTGCGCCACAGGCTGGTAGCACTCCGCCCCACGGCGGACTTCAACATGCGAAAACGATGCTTGCGCTCACGAAACTGCACCAGCCTACGCTTCTCCATACGCCGAAGAACTCGAGGTCCTGTGAGCTCGTGACCCAAGTTCCTCATGTGGGCCCTGTACGGGGTCTTCAAGGTTCCCAAGTGCCTCTTGAGCTGCCCCCAAACCTTTTGGGACCCAGGGATACATCCAGACTTCGGCGGCTTCAGGACCATCCCAAGATCAACAGCATCAGCAGTGAACGCCTTGGCCGCTCGGGCCAGGTTGGACACCTCCCGCAAGACGGGCGACGCGTACTGCAGGCCCACATCGTCCATGAGCGTGCATGGCGTGATAGCAGGTGCAATACTAGCCGTGCGCTGGACCGCTCGATACGTGAGGAGATATAAAAGATATGCGGCGTGTGTGCAGCCCGCAAGAATACCCTGATGGGCCACCAAGGGCCTGGAGACGGACCCAAAACACTTGATCCTTCTCGGCTGGCGGTAGGCGCCCAGGAGCAACCACAGGAGCCTCAGCGGGTGCCCGAGCTCTCTGGCTTCTCGGAGAAGTGCACTGTGACTGACCATATCGAAGCACTTGGTCATGTCCAAGAGAATGGTGCAGGTGTGTGCAGGTGTGTTCACCTAAGAGTTCTCCTATCTCTTGGCTCTGGTTGTGGTCGAAGGCTGAATCGGTCGAAGTCTGCCCAGCCCCGGACCCCCACATATGTTCGCAATTGTGAGCCTCTTGCCATTCCGCTGAAAGCGGCCGACGAAGCTTTCCCCACAACCTGACGAAAGTGTTGCTGAGGACGGTCAACCTAGTGTCCCCGTCAGGCTTGGGCAAGCGAACAAGCTCGCTGTAGAGCCTGTCAGTAGGCCAGGCCAGCCAACTCTCAAACTGCATGAACATGTCAGCCAGGCACTGCAAGGCCTGGTCGGACAGCACATCTAGCGTGCGTGGCGCGATCCTCGTCTGGCCCGAGGCCGTCTTCAGTGGAGAGCTGCTGATGGCTCCTCGCACCTGCGATGCAGACAAAGGCGGAAGCAGAGGCCACTGGGCGTGATCAGAAGGCAGCGGCAGAGGGCATGAACCGTGGTACGTCCAGACTTCCCTCCACTTGTCGTGCGTACGGTCCGCCATCTGGTATGGCTGAGCGTCAGGGGAGTAGGCGAGCATCTCCTGTCGAGCACGAACTTTGGAGGACGAATGCGCTCGAGATGCTCCTCCCAAGAAGGCTTCCTTGGCCCACTGTCGCCAGGCCTTCTCCGACGCTCTTTGCGCCGTGCTCAGATGATAATCAGCACTGGCAATGATGGCATTGGCTACCTCCTCAAAGTCAGCCTCGACCAAGCCGGGCAGCCCTCGCCGAAGGAAACCTGCGAAGGCAGCGTCCAGGACACACAGCACCTGCTCTGACCGAGCCACGCGCCCATAGAATGCAGCCACCTCATTGAAGGCCACGACAACCTTGGTGTACTGCAGCGGCGTGATGGCGCAGATGAGGGCGCACAACTTGAGGCGCTCAATGCACCTCACAAGCCGCTTCTTCTCGGCCACAAGGTGCTGGGCCCAGCGCCTCGCCGTGGCCCAAGCCAGCACGGACGGCTCTTTGTAGGTACGCCTGCGCGGCGGCTGCCATGACAGGAGCTGCCACTTGAACTGCGGCGGCCCCTCGCGTCCGATGTAGTGCATGGCCTTGGCGCCTGCGCAGTCGTAACGCCCTGCCAGCTCGTAGTCCACCCCTCGCAGCACGGAGTCCCAGAGCGAGCTCAAGTCATCGACACTACTGACCTGCTGGAACTCCGACTGGGGCATATGCCACGGGTAGGGATACCTGGCGCAGCCAACGGGCGGCACCACCGCAAAGGGGCGCGGCTCCACAGGGACACGGCACCACGTGGGGCGATCCTCGCCCATGAGCTGCAGCCCCACAGGGAAGTGCGGCGGCGGCACGACCGCGGAGTCATACTGGACCTCGGGCTTGCCCTTGATGCGAGACGCTAAGTTGGCGCAGACGACAAAATAGTCTATGGTGCTCTTGCCCTCGTCAGTGATGCAGGCGTGCTGGTCGGGCACATAGTGGATGGCTGCCATGGTCTCGACCCAGTTGCGAACATTGAGCGCATCGATATCGGCGTTCCAGTCACCGCCTAGAATCCAGTCGAGGCCCCGAGAGTTCCATGCTGCCACTCTCTGGGCCAGGGCCCACAGCACCTCAATGTTTCCGCCTGAGATGCCAATGGACGTGACGAGGTAAACACTGGCGACGATGATACCACCAGCAACTCCCCAGTTAATCTGGGCACAAACTGCTCGTCCAGGATAGATAATGTGCCCGTCGTCAGGTGGGGCCGTGACCATAATGTACGTCGGCACGAGTACCGCGACCCCTTCCGAAGTTGGACGTAGCAGAGTCACCAGTAGAGGGCGACGGGGCCCATAGCCCATGCCATCCAGCGTCCAAGGCCCTGGCCTGAAACTCGCCAAGCCTAGGTTCGGTAATTCTCAACTCCTGAGCCAGCAAGATAGTTCCACGATAAGTGGCCAACAAGTCAAAGAAAGGGCCGTAGCTCGTAGCGTTCACGGTTGTGATGAGGCCTTTGAGCTGCGGCTTAGATTATGCATGCATTGGCTGCACCTTTACCTCCGTGCGCTCTGGCGGCAAAGGCGAAGTTGGTGCAGCCCGTTCTTGACCTGATTTCCCGAGGCTACATCGGGAAGAAGGTGGGGACGAAGATGGCGCATCCTGAACTGCGCCTGCACACATATCTGCTTCAAGTTCCTCCATACCAGGCTCGACGTCTTGAAAGAAGTCATAATCATCATCCAATGTAGTGCGCACAGGGCCGCTCTGGCCTGGGGGCGCCCCTAGCAGTCGGCACCCTCTGCCGCCTCGATTCTCCGAGGGCAAGGGCGGTGAGCGGTGCGTGCCGTCCGAAGACGGTCGGCGCCCTCTGCCGCCGCTCCCCGCAGGTGAGGTCGGTGAGCAGCGCGTGCTGCCAGGGGCCAACCGCGTAGGCGTAGGCGGAGTAGCCCTCTGTGATGCCGTAGACGCCGAGGACCCAGCTGCGGGCGCAACCGACGTAGGCGGAGCCGCGGTCAAGGTCGGAGCTGCCCCCCACCCCGAAGAGCGGGCCAGCGGGGGAAATAATGTAGGCGCCGTAGTCCCAGCCGAGGTCATGGTACTGGAAGCCGTTGTGGGCAGGGAGGTCTGACGATGAGGGGCTGAACCCCTCTCCTCCCTGCCCAAGGTACACGCCGCCGTCGAAGATGACGAAGGCGCACCCTCAACATGTTGCGCTGATATAGAGCTAGCCATGGTGACAAAGAGCCAAAGCAACAGCATACCAGGCCGAGCACGTTCACGCGGACGTCTTGGCCTTCTTGGCCACAGTGTCCAGGTAGCTCTGCTGGAACCGCTTGAACTTTTCGCGCGCGATGTCGGGGGTGTCGCTCTCCTCGACGTGGACGCCAGCTGCGCCCAAAGTCGCGCGGCAATCCTCCTCAGACATCTCAATGTCAGGTACCAGCAGGAGCAGGTGCAGGTTGGGGCAGGTTCTGCAGCCTACTGACCGCGTCGGCCATGGCCTGCAGCTCCTTGACCATTTCGGCGCCGAGGCCGAGGCCTGTTGCGACCTTGCCCAGCTGCTCCACACTGACCGCGAAGGAGGGCAACAAGTCCGCAAGCGACGCTGGCTGCGTGCCCTCGGGCGGCTGGACTCGCGACATGGCGGTGCGGGTCTGCTGCTCCAGGCGGAGGACCTCAGCAGTGGACTCTTGCAGCTTGGAGTCCGTGTCGGCCAGGCCGCGAGTGAGCTCGTCAATCTTCTTCTGCTGCTCATCGCGGGTGGCCTGAATGGTAGCCTGTCGCAAACGGGCAGCAGACAGTCTTGGCGCCAAAGACCTGGCCTGATGCTCCATGGGCCTGTCTTGAAAGAGCTCGGCGTCCAGCTTCGCCCGCTCTTCGCGCCATTTGGCCACAGTATCAGCATCAGCAGGGTCAGTAGTGACACGGAGCATCTGATCCAGCATCTTGATCCTGTTCCGCTTGACAGTGTCAGCATCCCCTGGCGCAGCGGCCCATGGTGGGCTCGCGACTGTTGTTCCCGTAGCCGCTGGCCCATGCCCAGGGGGATGCTCGCGGAGCTTGGTGAGCTGCGCCTCAAGCTCCTTGACCTTGGCCGAGAGCGACTGCTGCTTGGCCGAGACACTGGGCTGCGACGCCACTTTGTTCTCCTTGAAACAGTTGCTCTTGTGCAGGCCGCACTTCTTACAGTAGACAAGGGTGGAAGCATTGAACCACGGTTGATTCGTGACGTCGTGCCTGCACCACTTGCAGTACCATGGCGAAGCGTTGTCCTTGCGCGTCGGGGCCATCGTGGCGCCGAAGCCGCAGGGACGGGCGGCGGGTGCCACAGGCCAGAGGGCAGCCTGGCCGTGGCGGCAAAACTGATGAGGGAGCCCAACTCCTCGGTGTAGGCGAAAAGCTGTCGAGCGCAAGCGCTCTGGCGCGGCCGCGGACTAGCGGTATCCGTGAATGCCAATACGGGCTCAGCCCGCAAAAGCATGAGTCTTGAGCCAAAATGGCTACGGACACAGGGAGGAGGAGGAGGAGGAGGAGGATGCGGAGGCGGGGGCCTTCGGCGCACTGAGCCTGGCGCTTGGCGCCAGGGCGCACGCGCCAGGCTGCACAGCAACGGGCATGGGCGCGCCAGGACGCAGCGCACGAGACCCTGAGGCCGCGTTGCCATTTGTGTTCAACCCTGGCATTTTCGCTCCGAGTGTGTTTCCCCATATCCCAAGATGGGGTTATTGTTGTTACTCGGACGCCTCCTACTCCTCCTCCTTCTCCTTCTCCTCCCCTCTCTTCCTCATACCCAGACTTCCTCATACACAGACTGACTCACACTCAGACTTACTCATACCCTGGCATTTTCGCTCCGAGTGTTTTTTTTGTTGGGGGGGGGGCACTTTAGGATTTCTTCGGGCACGCGCGCCGCCGATCTGCGTGCCCGTGCACGCGTCCATGGGCCGCCCGCAGCCTGCGACTCCTACTCCGACTCCGAATCCGACCGACCGGCCGGGCATTTTCGCTCGGTTTCGGGCCCCAGGCGCCCGGTTTCGGGCCCCTGGCGCCAGGTTTCGGATCCCAGGACCACCGCAGACCGATCCGACTCGAGAGGAAGGGGCAGGGGGTCTGGGGCCTTGGTCGCGACTGTCTGCGATGTTGGAGTTTGGTCGCAGCGTGATGCCAGGCCGCGCCGCTCACAGGCACAAGCTCGGGCACGCCAGGACCTGCACCACCACGCGAGGGCGCTCGCCCTGCTCGTCCTCCTGTCGTCCTCCACCCTCTCGCTCCTTCTTTCTCTTCGCTCGTGGCCAGCGTTCCTTCCTCGTTCCTTCTTCTCCCCCTCCCCTCCCGCTCCTCCTTCCCAATCACCACTCTCCACGATCACTTCTCACTGCGCTCTCCTCCTCAACACTGGTTCCCTCCTTCCTTCCCCATCCTACTTGCCTGCATCCTTAATATTGTGCTCTGCAATTGATCATCTTCCTCATCGATTTTGCCGTCATCAGCCTCATCCTCTCATCCTCCTCCTCCTCCTCCTCTGCGGATCCGTGATCCTCATCCCTCTTCCTGTCGTGTTCATCTCCCTTGTTCCTCCTTTATCCCTGCGCCTCCCTCCTTCCTGTCTATTTCCATCAATCGCCCTCCCTGCTGCCTCCTGCATCGTCCCGCATCATCTCCCTCTCACCCCTCATTCTCCTACTTCTCCTCCCCAATCTCCCCCACCCTCCCTACTCCATCTTTATCGTCCTCACTGCTTCCTCCTCCTCCTCCTCCTCCTCCTCCTCTGCCACACCCGCTTTCACCGATTCATCCATCCCCCAGTTGCCTCTCGTGTCCTTCCAACTGCTCGTCCAGTTTGTTTTACCGTTAACCCCCCCGCTCGCAAGACCAAGAACAAGCATGACGAAGACAGCGGCGGCAATCAGCAGACGGTGGTGCCAGCCCTCTCGGGGGCACGAGGTTAGGCCTTGGACGAGGATTGAAGGGGAGGGGGAGGAGGAAAAGGAGGGTGAGGAAGAGGAGGAGTGGGAGGAGGAGCAGGAAGAGAATAAAAAGGAGACGGAACAAGAAACAGGCGAAGCGGAGGTGCGGAGGTGGCGGTGGTGGTTGATGATGCTAAGCAGGAGGGTACACACACATGATACAGTTCCCGGAGGCGCCGGTGGGAGTGAGGAGTTGCTCCTTCTTTCAGCTGCAGCGCCTGCCCTTGAAGTCCAGAGCCAGCGCCACCGCAGCATGGGCCCCGCGGCGACGGGCACCAGGCTTCCCCTCCCGCCCCAGAGGCACTACGCGCAGACGAGGGCCCGCGGCTGTCGGGCGCCACCGCTTCGATTCGACACACGCTGGTCGTTGAAGGTTGGTATTTTTGGGTTCCCAGATCCCGATCTACTGTTAAGCGCCCTCCTGCTTCAAGAATCGACGATGTGCTTATGCTGGTGTTCAAGTATTCTTTTGGAGGGCCTGAACCCAATCTACCTTATCCGCCTACCTGCGACATGTTTTCATCCATCGGGCGTGTCCCTCTACAGGACGAATGTTCAGAAATAGTCACAAAATACCCAGGGGAATATTTTGTGAGCATTTCCTTACTATTTGGGAATATCTTTTGACTATATTTTATTTTTCGCCCAAAATCTGCCTGTAGGGGGAAACGCCCGACCTAACACTTTTTCTGACCGACGCGTACCGATCCTGGCGGGCCCGTCCCGAGCCCCTCGTGGTTCTCGGGCGGCCCGGTGCGGCCAGGCGTCGGCAGGGCTCGAGGAGGCGCGCAGCTTGGACCAGCGGGTGCGCTCCAAGCTCGGTGCCGTGCCCGTGCGGGCCGTTGCGACGTTCGGGGGCGGCCAAGATCGGGGGCGGCAAAGAGGGGGTGATGACTAGGGGGGGGGGGGATATCATGGCGTGGGCCATAATATTTCCCCAGATCTCATGGCGCCTCTTCTTATTTCATTACGTCCCAGGCCCCCCCCTGGCCCGCGCACACGCCGCCGGCCATGATTTTCACCCCGCCCTCTTGGACGCCCCCCTCTTGGACGCCCCCGACAAGAAGGGGGTGATGGCCAGGGTTAAGTCGGGCGTGTCCCTCTACAGGAGGAATATTCAAAAATAGTGCAACAATAGTCGGGGGATTGTGTTTTTAGTATTTTTGGACATTCTGGGGGTATGTTTGGACTATGCTCAATTTATCGTCCAAATTCCGCCTGTAGGGGGACACGCCCGACCGAAGACTAGGGGGGGGTGGATATCGTGGCGTGGGCCATGATATTTCCTCAGATTTCATGCGCCTCTCCGTATTCCCCAATCAGTGGTTGCACCGAAGGGGTCCTAGCGGAAACTGAAAGATTTGGTGGAAGCGTCCCGCCGATTTTGGTGGCCGGCTGGTTCCCGGGTTCCCGTTTCCGGGTTCTTTGGGTCATGGTTATTGGTTCCGGGCCGATTTCGGTGGGTTCCGGGTTCCAGGGTTCCCCGTCGATCTCCGTATCGATCAAAGCATCCACGGACTGATCAGGCGTTTCTCTGTTTCATTGCGCCTCACTAGTTCTCCTCAGATTTCAAGGCGCTTCTTCTCATTTCAATGCGTCCCCGGCCCCCGCCCCTCGGCCGCGCACCTGCCGCCGGCCACGATTTGCGTTAAGTCGGGCCTGGCCCCCTCCAGGGGGATAAAATAATCAAAAATTATCCCGGCAAAGCAACCTAACAGCGATGTGTAGGAGCATATCTGGAAGCATTCCCCTTAAGATTCAGATGAGAATCCAGTTGTAGAATTCTGCTGTTCTCGCAGTCGTAGTCGCATTCGCGATGACAGTCGCAGTGGCAACGGCAGTCGCAGTCACAGCCTCAGCCTCAGCCTGCCTCAGCCTCAGCCTCAGCCTGCCTCAGCCTCAGCCTGCCTCAGCCTCAGCCTCAGCCTGCTTCAGCCTCAGCATCAGTCTGCCTTCAGCCTCGGCCTCAGCCTCAGCCTGCCTCAGCCTCAGCCTGCATCAGCCTCAGCCTCAGCCTCAGCCTGCCTCAGCATCAGCCTGCCTCAGCCTCAGCCTCAGCCTGCCTCAGCCTCAGCCTCAGCCTGCTTCAGCCTCAGCCTCAGTCTGCCTTCAGCCTCGGCCTCAGCCTCAGCCTGCCTCAGCCTCGGCCTGCATCAGCCTCAGCCTCAGCCTCAGCCTGCCTCAGCATCAGCCTGCCTCAGCCTCAGCCTCAGCCTGCCTCAGCCTCAGCCTCAGCCTGCTTCAGCCTCAGCCACAGCCTGCCTCAGCCTCAGCCTCAGCTGCCTCAGCCTCAGGCCTCAGCGCCTCAGCCTCAGCCTCAGCCTCAGCCGCCTCAGCCCTCAGCCTCATCAGCTCTCAGCCTTCAGCCTCGGCCTCAGCTCGCCTGCCTCAGCCTCAGCCTGCTCAGCCTCAGCCTCAGCCTCAGCCTGCAGCAGCCTGCCTCAGCCTCAGCCTCAGCCTCAGCCTCAGCCTCAGCCTGCAGCCTCAGCCTCAGTCTGCCTTCAGCCTCGGCCTCAGCCTCAGCCTGCCTCAGCCTCAGCATCAGCCTCAGCCTCAGCCTCAGCCTCAGCTGCCTCAGCATCAGCCTCAGCTTGCCTGGCCCCCCTCAGCCTCAGCCTGCAGCATCTGCCTCAGCCTCAGCCTCAGCCTGCCTCAGCCTCAGCTCTGCTCAGCCTCAGCCTCAGTCTGCCTCACCTCGGCCTCAGCCTCAGCCTGCAGCCTGCCTCAGCTCAGCCTCAGTGCTGGGGCCTTCAGCCTCGGCCTCAGCCTCAGCCTGCCTCAGCCTCAGCCTGCATCAGCCTCAGCCTCACATGAAGGGATCGGCTCGGTTCGGTTCGGTTTGGTTCTGCAGCCGGCCGGTTTTGCTTGGCCCTTCGGTTTGGCATCGGTCCGGTTTCGGCCGGTTCGGCTTGGGCCTGCCGCCGGTTCGGTTCGGTTCCGGTTTTCGCGCGGTTGGGTCCGACCGGTTCGGTTCGGTTCGAGTGGTTCGCTTGGTTCGGTTCCGCCGGTTCGACTGGTCTCGGTTTCGGTTCGGCCGACTGGTCAGGTGCGACGTTGGGCGCCCCGTCTGCGTAAGCGACGGCCCAGTTTGAACAAAAAAAAAGAGGGAGGAGGAGGGGGAGGAGGAGGAGGAGGAGGAGGAGGAGGAGGAGTAGGAGAGAGGAGGAGGAGGAGGAGGAGGAGGAGGAAGGAGGAGGAGGGGGAGGAGGAGGAGGAGGAGGAGCCGGAGGCGGAGGAGGGAGGAGGAGGACGACGAGGAGGAGGAAGGATGAGGAGGAGGAGGAGTTCGTGGAGGCTTGGAGCGCGATTCCCTCAGCAGCGACGTGCCTGGCGAGGTGCCTCGCTGCGGGCCGCCGCCGCCGCCGCGGCCCCGTCGTAGTCGTCGTCGTCGTGTCGTCGTCGTAGTCGCGTCGTGTCGTCGTCGCGTCGTTCGTCGTCGTCGACGTCGACGTCGACGTCGACGTCGACGTCGACGTCGACGTCGACGTTCCGGACTGGCGTTTCCGGGGATCCCTTTGGGGCCTCACCCGCGGGCTCCCCCGGACCTAGGTTCCTGGCCCCCCCCATCGGAAAAAAAAACGTCGACGTCGACGCTGCCTCTGCCGCGCGCTGCTGCTCTTCGATCCCTCTGTCGCGGCCGTCCTGTCCCCCCCAGTGGGGGGGGTCGCTCAACCTGCTCTTCCCCTGCTCTTCCCTGCTTTTCCCCCCCCTGCGCCGCTGCCGCCGCCGTCGCCCCGAGGGGGGTCGCAGCCCCGAGGGGGGTCGCACCCGCGAGGGGGGTCGCACCCGCGAGGGGGGTCGCGACCCGCGAGGGAGTCGCACCCACGAGGGGGGTCGCACCCGCGAAGGGGGTCGCACCCGCGAGGGGGGTCGCAGCCCCGAGGGGGGTCGCGCCCGCGAGGGGGATTGCACCCGCGAGGGGGGTCGCAGCCCCAAGGGGGGTCGCACCCGCGAGGGGGGTCGCAGCCCCGAGGGGGGTCGCACCCGCGAGGGGGGTCGCACCCGCGAGGGGGGTCGCACCCGCGAGGGGGGTCGCGCCCGCGAGGGGGGTCGCACCCGCGAGGGGGGTCGCACCCGCGAGGGGGGGGTCGCACCCGCGAGGGGGGTCGCGAGCCCGCGGGGGGTCGCGCCCCCGAGGGGGGGTCGCCCGCGAGGGGGGTCGCAGCCCCGCGAGGGGGGTCGCAGCCCCGAGGGGGGTCGCAGCGCCGCGAGGGGGGTCGCAGCCCCGAGGGGGTCGTCGCACCCGCGAGGGGGGTCGCACCCGCGAGGGGGGTCGCCACCCGCCAGGGGGGTCGCACCCGCGAGGGGGTCGCACCCGCGAGGGGGGTCGCACCCGCGAGGGGGGTCGCACCCGCGAGGGGGGTCGCAGCCCGAGGGGGGTCGCACCCGCGAGGGGGGTCGCACCCGGGGGGGGGTCGCACCGCGAGGGGGGTCGCTCCTCGCAGGAGGGGTCGCACCCGCGAGGGGGGTCGCACCCGCGAGGGACCCGGAGGGGGGTCGCAGCCCCGAGGGGGGTCGCGCCCGCGAGGGGGGTCGCAGCCCCGAGGGGGGTCGCGCCCGCGAGGGGGGTCGCACCCGCGAGGGGGGTCGCACCCGCGAGGGGGGTCGCAACCCGCGAGGGAGGTCGCAGCCCCGAGGGGGGTCGCACCCGCGAGGGGGGTCGCACCCGCGAGGGGGGTCGCACCCGCGAGGAGGGGTCGTCGACGTCCCGGAGTCCTGGGAGTCATCGGGGTCCCGGAGTCCTGGGGGTCATCGGGGTCCCGGAGTCCTGGGGGTCATCGGGGTCCCGGAGTCCTGGGGTCCGGACCGGAGGGGAAAGGGGTTCGGTTCGATTCCCGTCGGTTCGGTTCAGGGGCCGCCCGGTTCCGGTTCGGTTCCGGTTCTGGTTCGGTTCGGTTCTCGCCGGTTCGGTTCTGAATGAATTCGGTTCGGTCCGGTTCGGTTTTCTA